TGCCCGTAGGGCTTCATTCTGGGCGAGTTTGAAGAAATTCGATTTTTTCGCTATTTCCAAGTCTAGTTGATATTTAGGCGAAGCTGCTCTTAAGTGTTTCAGGAGCCCGACAAAGTAGGGAGCTTAAGCGACGATGACATCGACGCCGAGGACGACGTCCCATAATCACAAATAAATTGATATTTTACCAGCGAAATTCGCAATTGTCCAGATCTGTTCAGTACGCCGATGGCTCTAAAAACGTGCTCAGGCTATATATGCAATGACAACGTTCAATTCCAAATGAAAACACGAAAAATTAGCCGTCGACCTCTGCGTTCCTCAGACGACGCAGAACTTGATTGTTTTACGTTTGTGTTTTGCAGAGGACAGCACAGAAATGTGCAAAGATTTGTAACGCACGTGCACAGCTACTGTTTTCAGTTTTCCCATCGAACATTTTGTTTTGGTGACGTTCTCGATGCCGTCGTCGTCGAGGTTTGCTTGAGCTCTTTAATCAGATGTGCAGTGAAATACACTGCCATCTAGTGAAAATCACTCAGTGACCGACGGAGTCAAAAGCAGAATAGCGATTCCGTCGCTTATGATCCAGTGAAAACTACAGATTGTCGGAGTTGGAAACATTCTTAACTTTAAAACCAGTTGGCCGTTTTACTGCCTAGATTTTGCTACTGTTAGTTTCTTTTTAGCCATCGCAAAAACAAATACATATTATTTTATATCAGACAAAATTTCTCACAATCAGTAACAATTACTTACAATCAGTAACAATTACTTACAATTGTATCCAGTAAACTTTACAAGCTGTTATTGTCCCTGCTAGATAAGGCCACTTGAAGTCAGTGTGCGGGAAAACCCAAACTGTAACTCGAACGTTGCTCCTGCAATATAACCAAAATTTGCGATGAGAATGAATACTGCTAGGCTTCATCAGTTTTAATGGCTTCAAAAAGCAGCAAGGGCTAAACGCCAAATGTATCTTCTCGCGTTTTGGAATGCACGCTTCGTTAGCACGGATGCGTTGCATTGGTATTTGTCGTGTGAGTTATTTCGGAAGTGCGCGTGATTATTTGTTGTTGTAATATATTCGTAACCGGAAGTTGTGTTAACCTGTTGTATTACCCAAGATGCTTAGAGAATAAAGTTGTTGTGTTGAACAAGCCTAGTCAACTTGTGTTGTTGTGTCACCGAGCCATACTTTTGCTAGTATGTTTCAGTTGTCAGGTACATAAGATGCTTTTTGCAGTTTCAAGGTCACTTGACGGCATCTCTCGCTACCATTCTGTTCTGTCACTGTTATCCTTTACCTCTGCCTATTGCTGCAATTTTCATATAAGTTATTATTGTAGATATTTGAGAGCTTGTAAGTAGTTTTGCGTCCTCGCTTATTTGTTAAGTGATTATCCCTGTACTTTGCCCGCGTAGCTATCAATAAATGATACGCCTATTCCTGATTGTTGTCTGCGTTCATTATATCTAGCATGAAAATGATTTGTTCTCGTTTCACTGCAGAGTGATTAGGGAACAAGACGTCTTGTAAACCAAGGAGATAATAAAATCAATATTCTAATCAGGAGATGAAGACAGAATATGTTGGCAATCTTCAAGCGTTTTCATAAACCAGTGGCGGATCCAGACCTCAACCTAAGAGGGGGGGGGGGGTTGTTTGCCCTGCCGGCTTTTCATCCTTCTGCGATTTTTTTTACCCAAAATAAGGGACCCTCCCCCAGATCCGCCACTGATGAACTATTAGATGGTAATCTATTCCGACTGTAACTCAGACTAAAAATACAAATTTTAAAATAAGCAGAAGGTAAGAGCTATTTACTCAGAGTGGGATGAAAACCAAGCTTTGAATTGAGGCAAACCTTCAAACAAATACCAAGTTTGTCAAGTGTAAAGCGGTAATTGTCACGCGATTGTATTTGCATATACGTCATCCAAAGAGGCGGTTAAAATTAATGAAAATCTTGAAATTCTTTTCTCTGCTAAATGTCTCGCAGTCAGATGAGGAAACTGTTACAAGTTTTTTGGAGCGACTGGCTTTTTAAAAATTGGGTTTATATTTGAGACTATCAGATCTGTTTCTCTAAGAAAACTTCTAAGACGAACTGTATAAAACAGGAAAATTATAAATGAAAGCCAGTCACTCTCGAATGGGAGGCAGTCAACTGAAACACTGTGCATATCAAATGAGTTGAATATCACTGCTTCTCTGTACCATACTTGTAAATACAAAGATATCCAGTTCTCTAAATAAAGCACGTTTCTTTAGTTATCAAGCTATCATTCTATCACTCTGTCGATATCTCACAAAATCACTGTGTGATCATCACGGCTAGTTACAATCATAACAGAGTGTTTACTGCTATTCGTCCAAGATAACGTTTTGAAGTTGTTCCTGTAAAAGTTGATCACACAGTTGGCAAATAGGCCATTCCGAGATTGCTCGAGGAACTGAGGCGAGGTTTATTAACCAATCGATAAACTGACACCTTCACATAAAAGATCACGTTGAGATGTGTCATGTGATCAAGTTTGATGTTTTTAGAGTGAACGGAGACCAAGTTATGGACTTTGAAACATGGTTCAAAATCGTTCCTCTAAAACCAGCTAGATGAATTTTGTGATTACTGTTGAAACACGTCATGTAACTACTATTTGAAAGAAGCTGAGATGAAAACAATTTTTTTTTTCATTTATGCGAATATCACAGAAATCAATAAAAAATGTTAAGAAAACAAGTAACTGACACACAGAACTATTCACATGTCTAGCTTGCAGCAAAACAAGAGAAAAAAGTTATCCTGCGTATCAATGCACCAAGCCGATGAAAATTACAACGATCGTAAAATAACATAACTAAAGGGGTAATGTTCGTATCGCGGATTATATGTTTGGCTACAAGTATGTTGCAATACAGATGGGTGAACTATCGTATCTATCATATAAAAATTGAAATAAACGGGTTTTGACCTTTTCCTTTCATTCCATCTGCATGACATTCACTTTAAAACCAGTGAGCCGTTTAAAATTCTTTGCCGCCTAGATTTTGCTACTGTTAATTACTATTCAGCCATTGCAAAAACAAGACATAGCATTTTACATTAGACGTCATATTTTACAATCACTAATCTTAATAATTACTTACAGTTGTATCCAGTAAACTTCACGAGCTGTTATTATCCCTGTTATTGTCCCTTTACGAGCTGTTATTGTCCCTGCTAGATAAGGCCTCTTGCAGTCAGTGCGTGGTGGCCGGAAAAACCAAAGTGTAGCACAATGTAGCTCATACGTGGCTCCTGCAATTGTCAAGATGTCCGATGGGAATAAATATTGTAAGGTGTCACCAGCCTTAATGGGTTCAAAAAGCAGCAAGGGCTAAACGTCAGAAGGACTTATTGTAAACGAAGAGGATAAAATCAAAATTTCACTCAGGAGATGAAGACAAACAAACAATCGTCAAGCGTCTTTATAAACTATTAGTTGGTAATCTACTCCGCCTGTAACTCAGACTGAAAATACAAACTTTAAAATGAACAGAAGGTTAGAGCTTTTCACTTACAGTGGGATGAAAACCAGGCTTTGAATTGAAACAAACCTTCAGGCAAAATGCAAGTCTGCCAAGTTTAAAGCGGTAATTGTCACGCGATTGGATTCATTTTGCATTTACGTCATCCAAATAGGCAGTTACAATTACTGAATATCTTGGAATTTTTTTCTCTGCTAAATTTCTTGTAGCCAGATAAGAGATAAACAGTACTATCGCAATTATATTGGAACTAGTAGTAATCAGAGATTATGAGAGTGCGTTCGACGCTCTCACTTTAATATATAATTATATATCGTAAATAAATGATTTCACTAGCTGACTTTCA